AGGAGGCTGTCGGTTGCGCTCCTTCCCCATGTTACAGGTTGGCTCAGCGGTCTAAGGCGTCGACATCACCGGCAAGGAATTCGAGGGACCGGAGGACAAGGGAACGAATACGACCGAGCGCGCAGACGGAAATGGGACTAGTACGCAAAGAGTCCTCGCGCCGATTTAATTTTTGTTTCAGGCAAAAGGGGACTAGTACGCTTTTAGTACGCTCGGTTCGGCGCACGGTCACTGTTTGCGCACTAGTCCCCTCCCACTAAGGGACGGGACCAGGGCACACGGGGGGCGTTTTTTCGTCACTTTTGGACGTGTTTGAGACCAGTCCTCATGCGCCCGGACTAGTACCCAAACAGTACGCTCGTGGGGACTGAATGGTCCCTGTTTGGGGACTGTTTGGGTACTGATTATTTTTGTAAGGGGTACAACCTACTAGCAGCACCTAGAAATTCCTCTTAGTCAATGTCAAAAAGCAGGGTCGTCCCTTCCCATAGCATTCCAAGTCACGCCAAAAATTCTTACAGGAGTGACGATTCTTCTTTCGTTGACTGTGTTCCTCAACCTCGTGGCGGAGTCCATGCCAGTCACTTCGGATGCGGTGCCTTTGATAGGTAGGCACTATGGGTGAGCTGGTAGTGCGATCGGTTGGAGTCTGCGCCCACTCTGCACGTGTATTTTTCTTCTCGCCTGTGCTGTGCTTGGGGTTCGCCGATGTATCGGGTACTGTTGTACCCGTCGTGGAGCGAATACAATGGAGGACGTGATAGTTCGAAGTACCTTTTTTATGAATATACGTAGAAGTGTAGCTTAGATTTATCGTTACTTACTCTCAATCGCCACGCATTAAGAGAAACGCATCCTTGAATTCGCACCACGACTCCGTGATTTCCCTCTTACCTTCTTTACTCTATGCACAAGCATGCCTCCCAGGCGACCCTAGCACAGCACGTAGGTACGCAGCAGCGCTGTTGATGTCATCAGCAGAGTAACAGGTAATGTGTTTCAACGAACCATCTACAATTAAGAGCGTCGTTGTTAAACGTATTAATAGTTTGTATGACTCTAATGTAATCAGTCTACAAGCCTACTTGGCATTTTCGGTGGTTGCGAACAGTGTGTGACTGCTGGCATGTCTGTTTCAGGGGTGACCATCCTTCTCTCGTTGACAGTGTTTCTGAACCTGGTGGCTGAGACTCTTCCGCAGGTGTCCGATGCCATACCGCTGTTAGGTAGAGCCAGTTCAAAGTACCAGCCTGCTTCTCAGTGTCTTTCTATTCATTTTCACACTATTAACATTTGTTGTTGCTGTTGATGTTTAACCATATATCTGTGCATCTACATCATTATGTAATGTTTGGGTCGCAGATACTTGGATAGTTGGAGGGGGGCTTGCTTGCTTCCCATTTATTGTCCGTACATTCGAAACTACTGTATTAAAGTTGTTTGCTATTGCCCCTGGCCTCCCGTGTTTGACTTCTTCAGTACCGCATTTTGGTGTGTTATTTCAATTTAGTTGTGGCTTGGTTACTTTGGTGTCATGTTAACTCGTGAAACTGTAGTTGTTTTGATCGTTGTGTTATGTCGTCGCATGCAGGGCCTGTCATGTAACAATATTACAATTTAAGAGTGGGGCTCAACCTGCTTTTTGTATGTAATGAGCGTAACCACAACGAAAGTATGGTGTTGAATTAGTTTGTTGGTGTTGCTTTCTTTCCGCGTTGTTTGGTGAGATTCATGACCTGCATTCCCTACTCCCGCGAGTTAGAATACTTTATCTGCATTGTGTGGCAGACTAGATGAACATGCACCTGAAGCATTGCCTGCATATGCGGACTAGAAACCAAGCGAATGAGGCCCGCCATTATGAATGAAGCTTTACTATGTAAGTGAAAGGTTGGTGGGGTTACATCTGACTCCCCTCCTGCAAACTTTTCTAGACCCGTTACATTCCCTTAACATATTACAGCCGTCATACTCGTAGTTGGCAACGTTGCTCGAAACTAGTGCTTGATAATAGTTTTGCATCATGGCGTTTACTGTACTGTGCTGCAAATTAAGGAGATTTTGTCGTTTCGTGAATTTAAAGATTGTTGAACTTGGAAAATATAATCGAAAGTAATCGTTTTGTGATGTATGCATGCAATCTGGCCATCTAAACATTGTACATTGTACTCTGTTCATACAGCTTAGACTACTGTAGTTGCCAGAGGAACGCGAACTGACTGAACACTGGAAAAACAAAGGTAAGACACTAAAATTTAGCACCATTGGAGCATTTTAGTGCCTTTCCAGGTGTGTCCACGTTTTAGTGCCTTTAATAACATTATTACCGTTTTGTGCAATTTTTAGGCACATAATCCATTTACACCTCATGAAGGGTGTTGAATCCCAACTTTGTTTTCCAAGTGAAAGTCAGAGTTCTCATACCACCCGAACATACCACTTCGCCCCCCCCCCCTTTTTTCTCCCGGAAAATTCCACCGATTACGCGCCGCTTCATCACTCAAACTGGAATACTGGTAGCATAAATAATTTTAGACTTTCAATCTAGCAATCAGTTAGCGTGTTCTTACTATTTTAGAATGCAATGTGCAGTTTGGAGAGGCAAGAGCACTTACATCACTCGATTACATTCAAGCATAGTCCTAACGCGTTCATTCTAGAAAAGATACTGAGCTGTTAATGCAAATTGACGCAGAGTTGTTGGTCGTAGGCTCCCTTTGTCTATTCACTTTTTAAAACTCGATATCTGTGGTTCATCGCAACGAGGGAAATAGGACTACAGAAAGGTATGTTTTGTGCCTCAGTCATTTATTGGCCCGTACTATGACTGTTTCTTTTCTTATTTTTAGTTAAACTTTTTCAAAATCACTGGAAATTGTGGTAAGAGTTTCTATATTTACTTTCTTTCGCTAAAGTATTGTCCTGATTCTGCCGGATAATTTAGGTTTTTCTCTAAAACGTTTTGATTAGTGGGACTTACGTGCTGGTAGGAAACTCACCAACTCAGCGCCATGTGTGTTTTGTAGTTTGGCCCGAGCCTAGCCAGACAACAGTAAAACAACTAAACTAAATATATTTTTTTTCCGAAAGAAAAATACTCTCCTCTGCATGACATCCGCATGGCTTTTGTGTTGGCCTGTCAACGAGTCTTGGGAGCTTTTACTTCTCTTTTCTTCGATCATCTTCCCGTCTGTCATATTCATATCCCAATAAAATTAATTTTTCCTAGTGCTTCTCAATGCCCGCTGTTATAGCAGCCGTTTAAAGTTTTGTTTAGTCTCACAACCTCTCATTCACACTGCCTGCGGAAAATGTCCGCGTACTTCCTTTCCTCTTTGTAATAGATCAAATGATTTCATTTCCAAGAAGTCAAACAATATTTTTGATTCCATCCACATAGCCTTCATCTGCAGACTTCTACATCTGACAGCAATTTTTACTTAGGTCTTTTTTTGGACTACCTCCTTTTTTGAATTTTGGCTAGTGGTAGAACCTGTCCATGCTTCCTCTTCCTGTAAATGGTGTAATAGGATCATCGAATCAACGACGGAGCAGTCGGAGCATTGTCTTAAATTTTGTGCCAACGCCTGCCACGCTCCGCTAAACGAATGTCACTAAATTACAATTTTCATTATTTTAATTGTTTATCTTGCTCTCTTAGCGGGATATTATTTTAACGTTATCTTGAGACGTTTCATACTCATTTCTAAACTTTTATTCTGAAAACATTCAAGCAGCAAGCGTGGCGGTCGGTAGCCCAGCTAAGACCGGACAGCCGGTACCTTTAGCGTTGGAGCTGTTGCCAGACCAGGTCCATTGAATTCTTATTGCGTGAGTTCTGTAAGTACTGGGAGGCCTTTGTAGTATAGATCATTCTTATCGTATTCAGTATTTCCATTTTATCTCATATCTTTCGAAACTTTGATTCACGTATTCCGCATATAGGAGTTATTTTCTATAATCGAGTTGAGTGCCTCAATTTGCCGCACTTTGTAGTCAGTATCAGAGTAGAGACTGATTCGTTAGCCACAGAAGTGTGAGAACGAGTATACTTATTGATTTTTAAAGTACAGGTAACCTTATTCAGCCTGTCGCTTTTCCTCACGCGAAATTTGTCCCCTTGTTGATCTTAAACGCTCAATATTGAAAACAACGTCACATGGGCAATTTTGGATCCAATATTCTGTTTATAGGAATTTGTATTGAAAGAAAATCCGGCTAGAAACCATTGAAGGAGTATAGTGTGAAATTCAAAAGGCCTTCCTGCCCGCAGCTCCACCGCGCCTAACTAACCAAAACGATTTTACTTGAACTGTGTTTATTTTAAACGTATCGCTAACCAAAAACTTTCTTTCCTGGCTCTCTAAGTAAACGACCTGGGATAAATACTACGCAGTCATCGCAACGGTTTAACTAAAAGTGGTTGCTTTTGTACTTAATTTATCATTATTTCTCTCCGTTTCCAATCTACAAACTTTGGCTCCTCTACCTGCAGTCTTCTCAATCCTTTCTTTCTGAATTCCTGTCTTTTCTTGTCTTTCCGATAGTCCTCTTTGGCTGACTTGTTCTATCAAGGTCTCTGATGAACAAGCCATGCAGCTTGATACTTTGCACCGTATGGGCGACCAGGCTCCCCCTTTTGCTATTTTCTTGTTTCTTTCTATTCTTACTTTACCTGCTAAACGTATTAATGTTGAAACGCTGTGCTAAATTTACGTATTGTCTAAGCTATGGTGATAAAATGGTTTTATGATCTGCCCTCCACCTCCAAGTATCAATTGACTCCGTCCCGACTTGACTTTTTTATTCTATTTTGAGTTAGCTTTATTCCTATTGGTATTTGTATTCTTGTTGCCTTTTGCTAAGTCACCTTCGCAACGAAGCGATATCGCAGTGCGTTAATACGAGTATGGTTGCTAAATAAACACTATTTGCAGCGTCATATACATGTCGCGACGATTGCTAGCTTTTTACGCTTATAAATCAAAATAAACATGAAAATTAAAAAATGACTACAAAACGTTCCGCCAATAGTCGCCTACAGTACCGTTGAAATAAATTGGACTCTCGTGCCTCTTTATGACATTCAACGTTTCTGCAGATTGCCAGAAACGTAGTCCTTGCGTTGGATTTTAACGCAGTACTGTTAATGATGGCGGTGAATCTTCTTAAAGTGCAAGTAGAGTACCGTTACAGTTCTCGCAAAAGTTTTTATTTTGCATGAGAAATGGTGAACGTAGAGTTTTACGCGACCTTTATTGTATTTTGTACTATGAATACTTCATTTCTAAGTAAGAAATTGTGATTGAAAAAGATTAATGTGGAAAATGTCTGTAAAAGCTGAGTGGTAAATCAGTTTGACAACTCACACGGATTTCTGAAGCATTCAATGACCATGAATCCGATTCGGCCACTCTTTACTGGAAATTTCAACTGTACTTAACGTGGTTTATAGATCGAGTAAGTTTTCTGGAAATCGGTCTATGGAGATGAGTGACCGCCATGGCTTCTTTTACCCGAATGACTTATTTTTGGTTGATCGGGAGTACTTGATTAATAGTGATTGTTGAGAAGTCGGTTTTCTTTGCGAAGCAGCTTCCGTACCATCGGAACTCTGATTACAAATCACATACGAAAAAGACATGATAAGCCAATGTGTTGCCATCCCATGCTTTGCGGCAAACATTTACTCCGTGAAATACGAGGCTACTTTGTAGCCGTTGCGATTGCTTTTGTATAAAATGCTTTTTGACGCGTATCAAATCTCATTTAAATATTTGTTGACGTCTATTGTTATATGTCTGAAACGTTAATTTAATTTGAACCCTCTCCCCCCATTTCCGTGGGAAGCAATCTCTTCAGTCCGCTTTTAAATCAACTACTTTCACTTTGGTTTCGCTTTCGTGTGAGTGTTCAAAGTGGTATTGCAGAAAGTACTTTGAGTGCACAAGTGTTTGCTTATTAAGACGATAAGTGCACATTAATTAGTATTATATTTTTTCGCTTGATTGTTGTATTACTTAAATTTGCACTGTTGCTATTTACAATGTATAAAATGTGTAAAATAAATGTGCAAACACATTAAATCAAGTGTGAGCAAATGTACCTTTAAATATTTGTGAGATAACAATTGTCCAACTCAATTGTGAGTATGATGTAACTAAGGATTTTCGTGTAAATGAACATCTGTTTCCTCGAAACGTCTTCAAAGCACCCAGAACTAAGTAAGTGCATGATATAACTCACTGGAAAGGTGGTTTAAATTCACGCATTGCGTGCACTTTATTAGAATGAGTCGTCATTCTTCTATGGCCGCATATATTATGTCGATGCATGAATAAAAATAACACGTACGGTCAATAATTTCTCCGCTTATAAAGAAAAATTAAAGAAACACTTAATATGTAATAAAATCAGTTTAGAGAGTAAACCTTTAATTGCAACCTTAGAACTGGCACTACCTAAGATCGGCCACTGCCTGCGTCTGTTTGTAGGAACTTACTTCAACTGCATCATGTTCATGGTGGCCTCCTCCGTGGTATTAACCGTGGTCGTGCTCAACTTTCACCATCGCACTGCGGATATCCATGAAATGCCAGGATGGGTAAGTCCTCGAAACGAGTCAAACGTAAATTAAACAAATCTAATGTTCGGTGCACCTGTCCAGTTTTACCACGCAAACAATTCCCGCAGGTCAAGAAAGTGTTCCTCCTGTGGCTGCCCTGGATACTCTGCATGAGCAGGCCAGGCAGAAAGATCACCCGAAAGCAGTTGCTGATGTCTTCGCGGATGAAGGAACTAGAGCTGAAGGAGCGGTCGTCTAAAAGCCTCTTAGCCAACGTCCTGGACATCGACGACGACTTTAGAAGATCGCACGGTGTTCCTGGGGTCCCAAACAGCGCCGCCTTCATGAGGACGGCCTCCACACTAGAAGATGCGAGTTCTGGAAGTCCTGCATGTCCGGTGGCAGCTCGTGATCTACAGGTGAAGATATAATTTCAAAAAATTCAAAATATAGGACTGCAGACCCTAACAGTTATGTGGCTGTAAAAAAAAAAATACCGTGTGTCAGAGCTACGACACAACTGTTGTGGGTTTGCATACCCATGGAGCCTTACTGGCGGAAAGAATAGGCAAACCCGCATACTGTTTTGTCGTGACCTTGGCACACGAGATAAAAATTATTGACGTTTTCTTCTGATGCAGGCCATTCTACGTGAGCTGCAGTTCATTACAAATCGAATGAAGAAGAATGACGAGGAGATGGAGCTGATTAACGACTGGAAATTCGCCGCCATGGTTGTGGATCGATTCTGCCTCATCATTTTCACCGTTTTCACCATCATTGCCACTGTTGCTGTGCTGCTATCAGCTCCACACATCATTGTGCAGTGATTCGAGCACTGCCTGGGTGCCTTAGTGGACCCTTTAATTGGTTCTTTTAAAATTTTTAGCAAACCTAGTCGTCTAGGTGAGCTAAAACCAGCAACATTGTTCGCCAACCGGTGGCTGCGGAAGTTAGCTAGTACTTCATCATGACCGAGCGTACGTAGTCTGTACGGTTTGAAATGGAATCGCTATGTTGATTGTTTAAAAACCGTACTTTGGCAGACCAAACTTTTTGGGGTCCTATCAGGCCATTTATGAACAGACTTGCTGTTCGTTACTGTGTCGGAATCCTCAAATGTATGCACCTATTTTCATTTCCTGTGTTGGAATATCTATTTGCTCATTAATACAATTTTCATTGCCATTTGTCCTTTAGTGAACGAAACCGTGTAGTGCTTGATTAATCAAATTTGCCCAAGTTTATTTTAATTTGTATTTTCCTACTGTGTGGTGCATTCTATGAGGTCCGGCATATTTTGTATTTTTTTAGACAAGCTTTTACGTTTTGTGCGCTAGTGCGGAAAACGACAAACAGATCCCCGTAAGTTTGTGAGGGCCGAAATTTGTTTTGTCGGGTAGGGGTGTCTTCGGGTCCGAGCCATGCCTCGTTGGCTGAGCCAAGCCTCGTTGGATGAGCCAAGCCTCGCTGGCTGAGCCAAGGCTCATGCCTCGCTGGCTGAGCAAGCCATTTGCTGAGTCATGCGCCGTTGAATGTCAGGGCCGGGACCAGAAGAGAGCGGCAGTGCAGCAGGTCTGCGTCTGCGCCTCATTGGGGGTGGCCTTAAGCCCGCCTCTTCTCTCCAGCATTCTTTTTGTAAGATTTTTGTCAAGCATTTTGATTTTTAAGTCTGGCCCTTGCCAGCTCACATCCATGCCCTGTACTTGTTATGTTAATCTGTCGTAGGTTGTATCGCCGTGTGATTTGTTTGCGGCATTTTCGGTGTAGTTTAAGTGGACTGATCACATTTATAATTTATTTTAAAAAGTCGTATTTCGTTGTAATACTAGTCGGAAAGAGGTAAATCAAAAAGGTGCATGATTCGTTACTCGACGGGACTAAGCCCGCTTGCGAGGGGGCAATAACTCCGGGAATCATGTGTACACCTGTCTGGGAATCATCAGGTTAAAAATTGATCAAAATCAATAGAAATCGCTTAGAATAAGCGGGAAACTAGAGAAATAAGTACAAATCAGTCGAAATAAGCGTTTTATACCACTTAAACCCCCCGAAAAACCTATGTAATAATTATAAGCGGACGGGAATCACCGGGAATCAAGAATTTCGGGAATCATGTGTACACTTCAAAAGGGAGTTATTGCCCCCTCGCCCGCTTGCCTCTCCTTTGCTTCCGACGAGTTTGTAAAAACTTCACTTTTTTGTTCCTTCGAGATTTAATTGTAAGCCCCTCTTGTGAAGTCGCGGCCCAAGCAAACAAGAAGGGTAGGCTTAGCTCTTTTGGAGGTCACTCTATGCCAGTCCTTACCAATTCGCTAGTGCACTCTGTGATTTTGGATGGAATTTATGTGATGGTGGAACAAGCTGGCCTCTTCGTGAATACTCCAGGCGGGTCCTATATTCATAGCCGGGAGGCCAGTGCAACTCACATACCATTATTATGAGTATTTATACCATTATTACTACTATAATTTGTATGTTGAATACTTAAATTCTAGTCAAAATACGGAAAACATGTTTTATATGTTATGTGAACTGGTTTTTCCAGTTGCTTCCATTAAGTAAACGGGAAAAGGCTCAATTATTATTATTATAAATGATTGTATAATTTTTTCATATTCACTGGACAACAGATGTATTCTTGTGTGTAATTCTCCGCATTATTTTTGTGTTCTCTGTATTGTGCAAGGCTCATTTGCTGGTCCAAGGGTTGCGCCTGGTAGTCCGCTTTTGGCGGTGTTGACCAATATGTTAAGAGTTGTTGTTGTGGAACAGTTATAAAGATCATTTTGTTCGTTAAACGGTGCTACAAGGCCTGGCCCTCCAGACGGACTTTGTCACACTCTGCCGTCAGCAGCCGTCTTAAAATTTAAATTAAGCATTGGCCCTAATGTGTGACTTAACGTGTGACGTAACGTTATCACTGCCAAGACCACAAGGGAAATCGTTTGTTTTCTATTGTTCGGTCTTCTCCTAACGTTGATCGCCATGTCTTGCCATCCCCGTTGGCTAGTTGTTTCTGAAAAAAGGAAAGTTCGACTTTTGACCGCCGAGTGTGACACGTTCCTTACAGCGCAGCCTTGCTCAACGGGCGGTTACCCTGCTTGCAATATGGCCGTGCCATCTCATTGGTTAGCATCTTTGAATTGAATATACAGGCACCTCTTTGTTACGTCAAGGCCCTCATCGTTATGTTTATCAAATTCTAAAAGTAAATTGTAACTAAAATATAGGCCAGGGTAATCGTCTTTTGATATGTGTGTTAGATAGACTAGTTATTGGCCAGAGGCAGTGAGCGGGTGTGTCGCCCATCTTCGGAGAACCACCACCATTTTCATCCACGCTAGTCAGGTTTGAATTGAATCGAATTATTCTCTTGACCCCGGTGGCATCGGTACAGGTGTTGAAAATGTGTACGACTTTTGTCAGCCCGGTCATCACGGAGGCGTCGTGGATTGCTGGTATATCACTGCCTTTTAACTTTCTTTCATAGTCATGTATGGTGGTTGATTATGGTGGTGGGTTAACTATTGTACGGGTCGGGCAGCATCTGTTGGATGGCAGGTTACCCTCGGACATACCACTATCCATACTTATTTTCTTTTTGGTCAGACCCACAACATGTATTTCTTGGTTTTATTTCATTTCAAGAACTTTACTAACCTACGTATGTTTCCCAGAGACATAATAATTGAGCTCGGAGCCCAAACGTTATTGCATACATACTAGAAATTGGCTTTTAATGCTACTTCTATTTACATCACAGCAATGTAAATAAAAGACTCAGTCCCAGCTGTTATACTTGTACGCATCTTCGGCGAATTTTCTCAGACAGGCATCTAGTTAGACGTCTTTTATTCTTAACTATCTACTATAGATTTAACTGCGTGCTAGACATGTGGCCTCGCCTTCAACAGCATTGTCTTTTAAGTAAACATTTAACTGAATGCGTTATCTTTAGCACCCCCAAACGATACCCGCTGCTAGATGTCTATTAGTTCATTCAAAAGGCGTCCTAGGGATTGTGACCGCGCCCTGATCCCGGCCCTTGCCCTAACCCCGCCGCTGCCTCGCTCAAACTAAACGCTAAATTGAACAAGGGGGACTTCCATGCAGCCACATGCACCAATTAATAAACTGAGTTCCGTTTTAAACTGCATGGAGAACCCCTTTTCGACTAAACAAAGGGATGTTCTAATCCCTACTAATTACTGTGCCAACTAAACGAACAAAAGTGATTAAATTTGCAATATTTGTAAATGTGTAAAAAAAACTGTGTGTAAATATAAGCAAAAAACTTTTTGCAGTGATATATATTGTATAAAGTACGCTAATTAATATGAGAATGTGTTTTTACTGTGTAAATAATGATTACTATTTGTGTCGTGCGTAGTCTAAATAAAGTTGTTTTTTAAAATGACACTCGTCGTGGCGGTGCGAGGGGGGTCACTCCACCTCCTGGCCGGAGAATTCGTCGCAGCGATATGCCACAAACTTTATCGGCCCGCTATGTGGCTCTAGTATTTTTACGGTTGTCTAGGTTTTAGCGCCGATGAATTTCCTTTCCTGTCCTTGAATGGGTGTGACGAATGGGTTTGTAAACGCGTGCGTGCGTGTGTGAGTGCGAGTGAGAGCGGTCCCTTTCTTCCTCTACTTTCTCCCTCGCTGCCGGCAAAGCTGTGCCCAGCGGAGGCATCGTCACGATGCTGAAATTTGTTTCGTTGACGATTGATTGACAAGTGTTTTATTAATTAAACCATTTTTACCAAAACGCTCACCATTTGCACAATTTTCCTTGTCCCAAACATCGCCGGCACAGCAGCACACACCTACTTTCTGCGTGGCCTTGGCCGTCAAGGTCCTAGTGGAGATACTAGAGGCACACCTATGTTATCTGCACGACGAAGATCGATTCAGGTCAATCGACGCAGATACATTCACCAAAATGCACATGGTGGGGAATCGGGAGGGCATTCCTAACAGTTTAGTCACACAGATCAGATCCTTTGGTGGCCAAATACTCGGACGAGGGGGGGGGGGCACATCTGATGGAATGAGGTGAACAGGTGTCACAGACTTGGCAATCACTGTTAATCCCAAATCCCAAAGGTGATACCCGGTGATCCGCACACTCGTGACTTTATAAAGTATTAATTGATTAAAGCGTGCTGTTTCTGGCACATCCTAAGATAAGTTTAGCCAATTAATTGGCTAACTTGCATGTTGCCAAAATAACGAATTTGCGTCTCTCTCGTAGGCAAAGTGTGTAATTTGTCCAATGATAGAGGGTGCTGCAAATTTGTGACTCGTCAGATTTAGAACTGCAACAGGCACATATAAATGTGCACAAAGAGGCATCTTTCTTGAGGCTTAAACTGGCCTTTGGACGAGGTAGGGGGACGACCCCCCCCCCCCCTCTCCTTTCCCCCCTCCCGGTCAGCCGCGGACCTGAAACCGCGCATGGCAATATGGCACTGACCTTGCTCACAGAATGATCCGGAGCGGGGACGTGCCCCTGGCCGGGAGGCCGGGCTGGCCCGATTACAGAGGACCTTTCTTACGGCGGCAGCACAGGAACCAACTGTGTGCACGGCTGCGACCGAATCAGCTCCAGTGGACCGGCCGGGGGGGG